GTGGCACAAGGCCGAAAGTATGGGGCACCCAGTGAGGATCGAACTCACTACACAGTCGTAATTGTCCTAGCGAGATAAGCTTGCTAAACATTACACCACCTTGAGTTGCCCAACCCCAACTCAGTATTGTAATCCATTCACTTGCATTTATGCATGTATAAACATAGACATAAATCCACTCTAACACCGACTATGCATTCATATAGCCGGTCATTCTACTAATATAGCTGTACATCGGTATTTAAGGCGCCACAGATTAACATTGGTTAGTTACGCACCCACTCAAGTAGAACACGTTTAAAGATTGAAGATATTTTCATGTCGGTTCTGCGCTGATCAGTAAAGCGTTGCAAGACCCTCAGGCTTGTCATTTGACAGGAGCAGAAATCTCATTAATGTTCTCAGATCATATCACAGGATATTGCAATACGAAAGTGTTTGCCACAGATTGTTCTTAGCAACAGTAGTAGAAATACTACTTTCATTGCCTGATTTGCTTCTTTCTTTTTTTTTTTTTTAGAATTTGTTGCTCTACTCCTTTCCATCATATTTCGTATTTCTAATCCTGTCTTCAAGACAACAATGTACAGCAAAACCAAAGAAACAGAAACAAAAAATACGTTTAACTGCTACAGACTTTCCAGTCCGTTACTCGTAATTGGTTTCAATTCTGTTTTTTTTTTTTTTTCATTTTAATTTAAGTAAGAATTTATAAAATAGATTAAATAAAGCATGTAAATATGTTAACTAAGGCGTGAATTAGATTAATGCACACGTTTTCAGTGTTTTTATTTTTAAACAAAATCTTTTCTCCATATAAGTTCAGCTATCAATTAATTTTCTTTTACTTTTTCCAAATTAAGTTAAATTTTACATTCCACCGTAAAAGAACTATTAGATTTGAATTTCTCAGAGACTTTTCGATATCTGATTGGAACAGGTGATCCTGATAAAGAATGCTGCATGAAGCGAAATAAATGAAAATTTCGAACTGACGTGTCTCGATAGTCCATTTGATGCGTCGTATTTGCAACTTGAGGACAGGTGCTGTCATTCAATGAAATCACTGATCGATTTAAAGTTATTTTTTGTTGGAATGCGTCATTCAGACGAGATAATTGATTTTGGTAGCATTGCGCGGTAACAGATGGTTCAAATTTCAGTAGGAATTTCAACGCACGCCCACTCTAGCGGAATGTGGCACAAGGTTGAGTTTAAAGTGGGTCGGTAGTCTACAAATCCGTAGACGGAGACAAAGATTATTCAAGTTCCATCGATAGTCGTCATCTGGGGATGCTACAAGCGCCAAGAAGGACCCAGCCTCCCTTCCAAAAGACATACGGGGGTTTTCCACCTCACTGGTGTTCGAACACATACAAGATTTATAGCAAATCTTAACAATAATGAAGAATGCTTGATTACTGTAGATACCGTACAGTCTAAAGTATTGTACACAATGTTGAAACTACTGTTGACCTTTTTTTTTTTTTGGTTTTAAATTCTCACTTTAAATCTCTGTCAGATCTTGTGAAATATGAGATTTCTTTTAGTCTGCAACGAATAAGAATACAAAATGTCTACACAATGAACGATATTTGCTTCTGTAATGTCACGTGGAAACTATCAAAAGTTTACTAGAAACAGTGTCAATATTTTAAAAAATGATTGATTTATACTACTATTTTCATTTTACAATTACTTGAGCATTTAATTGGTTGTTTGCCTCAACAATATACAGAACTTTCTTATATAAAAACTTGCTTCTATTTTGCCAACTTGCATAATATCAAGTCGAACTTTTGGTCAATCATTTCAACATTTTACCCTTATCCTCAGTATTTGCTTCGCTAATCCTCCAGAATTTTCAGTAAACCATAAATTTCTTACATGATACTATCGGGCAACCTCATCGACTAAAAGAATATACCATTTTTCTGATTTTCAGTGATTTTATTAAATCAATTAATTTTGAGAGTTTGATATCAAAGCTGAATGTTTTCCCCTTTGGTAACTGAAAATCATCCTGAAGTTGTTTAGATAATGAACGACACATAAAAAAACTATTCAAATGCAGTGATAAGAATATTAGAATCATAATGTTTTGCTTTGCGTTGACATAACACTGATATGTTCTTTTAATTTTTTTTTTTTAAATTAGTTTTTAAGTTACTAAAGTAAAGAACCGACACTGATTTCATTGATTTGTGGCCCGGTGCCAAACATTAATATTCGAAGGTTTTGGAAAAGAAAAAAAATTGTTGTATATATAAATTAGCAAAATTTAAATATTAAGTTTCCTACCATTTTTGCTAAAATAAGTGGAATACTTTCAGTCAAAAAATCAAAAGTCTGAATAAACTGCTGATTTTTTTATTTATAGCATGTAATGGCTGACACAAAATCTTTTAATCAATAAATATTGACACAAATTTTCAAAATTGATAATTTTATATTTGTCTAGAAATAAGGTCAACTCATCATTTTGCACATTTCACGAAGAAACAGGAGATTTAATTGTAGATCTCGGTTTTTGTAGAAAATTAGATACTGGCGTTGATGGCAAATGATGAAATAGATGGTAAATTTTAGGGGTCGTATTTTTCCTCTACTAAATACTGTTTTGCAGCTCGATAGAAACACCGTTGACAAAACAGTATTTGATTTTGATATCTAAACAATATCACATTTACATACTTAGGGAGCGAAGACGAAATGCACGAATCTTATTTAGTTACCATAGCAACCTGTTACACAGGATTTTTTCAGCATTTTGTGAAAGATTTGGGGATAGTGAAAGTAAATAATATTAATTAAATTTTTGTATTGTAAAATTTCCTGGTTGGTTCTAAAAATTTTACGAACCTTAGAATGAAATGTCTGGAGAATTTGAACTCAGAAATTTACGATTCAGAATCGAAAATATAAGGTTTGTATTAAGGTGCGAATTTGTAATCTTCTTGAGGCTAATTTGCGGAAACTCAAGGACATGTTTATGAATGAAGCAAGGGAAGGTTGTAGCTCAGAAAATGAAATGAGGATGGGAAGTGTCAGAGTTTAATGTAAGCTAATGTCTAAATTATATATTGGTCGACTTGTATCATAATAAAATAATCAGAAGTTTTTTATGGCAATATATTTTTAAAACATAAAATTAAATTTACTGAATTTAATTATGACATGAACTTTATGAGGCACAGTTCTTAATAAATGTTTTTTTTTTTTTAATTTTACAGTGAAAACAATACATACTTTGTCTATTTCCAAAGTACTGTAAAATTAGAATTCACATACTTTTAAAAACTAGGTTAGGGAGAAAAATTATCCATGACAAAAAAAAAAAAAAAAATTGATAATCAATATGTTCATTCTTATAACGAAGAATATATATAAAATATTAACTTTGTGAGTCAAATCTTAATAATTGCAAGTAGGACCATTTGAACTATACTACAGAAATGTATTGTTTTCTTCTCTTACGTTTTTTTTATAGATTTATATATAAAATTCTGTGACTTCGTTAGTTTGTCCGTCACACTCTCTAAAATAGCCATACAATGATCGATCGAAACAAAATTTTGGGGATAAGTGCAAATAGGTAATGGAGTACAAAGCACAGTTGGATTTACTAGGGTGCGTAGCTTAGTACAATAAATTTTCATTTATTTTAGTTTTATTATTTAACATACATAATACTTCCACTATTTAAAAAAAAAACAATTTAATGATTAAATTAAAATAATTATCCAGTTCCAGGATGCCCTGCGTTTGCCCGAATTATAAACAAATCACAAGGCCAAACGTTTTAAAAGTTGGAATTTGACTTCAGAAAGAAATATTTACGCATGGCCATGTTGCATGCTCAAGAGTAAGAAATTCTAAGAATTTATTCTTCGCTATGAAAAAATAAAAAAATAAATTTTCTTTGAAAATTTCGTTTATCTTAAAGTCCTATAAAATTAAGGTAACGATATTATTAAACCACGAAGTAGGGTTTTTGTCAAAGTATTTTCCAAACAAATCATCTTATTCAAATTTCACCGATTGGTTTACGAAATTGAATGAAACGTACAGTTTGTAAATCTAGACAAAAATTGTTAGCAGTAATTTCAACAATACTAAATACCATGTGGAAAGAACAGTCATAAAATATAAAATTTAATTTACTGAATTTTATTATGTCAATATTTTTTGTAATAATTCGTAATAAATAATATTTTAAATTTATTTAGCAGCGCGAAAAAATACATTCTCATTTGTTAATTAAAAAGGACAACAAAATTAGAATCCAATACACTCAAATTATTAATAGAAAACGCTATTCTATAATCAATACGTTCATTGTTATGAAGAACAATATCATAGTGAAAAGTATTAAATTACCTTTATGATAATAGTCTTGATACTTTTTTGTCAATTTCGCATCGAAAAAGTTTATTTTGTTATTTATTGCAAAACATTTAAAATTAAAGTTTTGTAAGATCAAATTAATGAATCTTATACTTACTTTAATGTCTTAAATAATAAACTAAATTTAATCCAAATGTAAAAATAAAGATTTATTTTTAAAAAGATTAACCTGATTAAGCCTATTCCAGCAACGAATTTTCACCATCGACTTGCCTCCAGTCAAGGGAAAGGCTTGTACGCTTTCCAAGTCTTTCTTTCGATTAACCTTGTTTCAATTTCATCCTGCTTCAGAACAACCATATTACACATGGGAATTACTCCTCAAATTCCAGCTTGCCAATTGTCACAATAAAAGAGGTTACCTTAGAACTAATGAAATATAAAAATATTTATAAATCATTATTCTTTATTTTAAGTTTTGAATGAGTGTATTGTTGGCAAGTTTGTTTTTTTAATAAGAAGAATGAGCTGTGATATTTCCGTTATTAGGATAAAAAAAAACTACATTTTTTATTCGTGTTTATAGCATATGTGATATTTACAGAGAATGGCATGAAACATGGAGCAATATGCAAAACGAATAATGTCTTTTCATGTTTGATCAGTTTCATTTTGTTTCGTTATTTTTAAAGATTCCCTTTTTCTTTTTATTTCTTCTTTTATTTACCCATGCATCTCCGTCTGTCCAAACAAAATATTATTGATCTAACACGTTCATTCATTTCTCAAAACACATTCATTGGTTTCCATTTTCAATGTTTATTCTTTAGTCTTCAGGATATCTTTAACCTATGACATTTTCATACTATTCAATCTATCTATCTATCTATCTATCTATCTATCTATCTATCTATCTATCTATCTATGCCTGATTGTTTCTTTGTTTTTTTTTTAACATAAAACAGTTTCCAAAGAAGTGGTATTCTATCCGGTAGACGAAAATAAATATACTGTTTAATAAATAAACGGAATTCCTACTCAAATATGGGTATCCACTAAAAACATTAAAAATAAAATAAAATAAAAAATTAAAATGTTTAAGTCATAAAATCTGTCGTATTAATAAATAAAAAATCCATTACTTCTTTAGGAATTGCTTTATTTACGTTAGGATACGAAACTGAGCAGATAGTTCTATTTCGTGAGAAAGATTTGCATTTAAAGGCACTGTTCAACTTTGTTTAGTCATCGACGCACTTCGTAGCCGTGTCGGATCTAATGACGTTTTTCCCTACTCAAAGGACGCAGGTTCGAATTCTGCCAGAGAGCACAAATTTTAGTTTCAGAATATTTCTCCAATATTCAGGCTGTTAGAAAAAAAATAAATAAATATACTGTTTAATAAATAAACGGTACGTCTACTCAAATATGGGTAACCACTAAAAAGAAACGGTTAAGTAATAAAATATACGTATGTACATAAGTATGTTAGGTCATATAAATAATCTGAAAATTGTATGGATGTCTTATGTTCATGCCAGAGAAATTGTTTATAAGTGTGTGTGTGTGCATGTATGTTTAAATGAACGAGAATTTATTTTCTTTAGCTTATCTCCTCCTCAGAAGGACATAAATTATGTTTCTGTGTCTCGGCGTAAATTAGAGACACTGCAATAATCTTCAAGCGAAAAACATCCTATCAGAAGTAACACACGCCATTTCGCAAGCACAAATACGGCATGTATAATTTTAGAAAAATGTTTTTAAGGAACTAATTTGTTTTCGCGGATCTATGCCTAATTGTGCAGAAATCCTATGACGTTTGAAAAATGTAACGGATAGAGCAAATAAATAAAGGGAACGAAAAGAAGGAAAAGCGTTTAGAATGAAAAATAAATGCCAATGCGCATTGCGCATTGATTTCTTTCATAGGCGTCTACAATTATTCATTTTGAACAATTTTTGAACACATTAAACGCACTGCGGACGAAAATATTGTTCCGCCGGTCATCTTCTTATTTTAATACTTATAGTTTCTTTCTTTTTTTTTTTTTTTTTAATGAAATCTTTATCGTCTGCATCGTTTTCTTTTGCACCTTTCTACATTTATATCCGCCATGTTTTTTTAAAATATTTACTCTGGGTTAATTTTTGGTTATGTCTTTCTGCTTTCTCATCTTCCTTTTCATCGAATATTTCTTTTTTTTTTACTTTAGCATACTTATTCTTCCTTACTTTTTCTAAAATATTTTTAACGTTTTCCTTCTTTCTTTCTTTCTTTCTTTTTTCTTTCTTTCTTTCTTTTCGTCATCACTTTCCTTCTTTTTTCCTTTCTTTTATTAATGTTTTTCAGCGCTTTCTGTTTTTCGTTTTTGTCGACTCTTTCTTTCTTTCGTTCTTTGCATAAGTGCTTCCATTCCTTCTTTTTTCTTTACTTTTTAACGATGTTTTCTTTTCTTTCTTGTCTATTTCTTTTCGTCAACTCTTTTCCTTCTTTCGTCTTTCCTTTCTTTTATACTTTTTTGTCGGCGTTTTCTCTGCTTTATTTTTATTTGTTTTTGTCGACTTTCTTTCTTTCGTTCATTTTCATAAACTCTTTCATTCTTTCTTTCTTTACTTTTTATCGATACATTCTTTCCTTTCTTATTTATTCATTTTGGTCGACTTTCTTTCTTTCTTTCTTTCTTTCTTTCTCACTACCTTTCTCTTTCTTGTTTTCTTATGTTCAGTTTTGTGCGTGTGTGTACCAATCTTCGTTTAATCTTTGTGCCAGTATTGATATTTCAGTCTTTGAGTTTATTTTGTTCTTGTCAATTTCAATTTTACTTTTCTCGTTTTCCTTCTAAGAATTCTTAAATCTGTTTCATTTTTTGTCAAAATTAGTGTCTGATTCGCTAAATATTTTTCTCCCCATGATAATCTTTATTCAATATAACTAATAAAATGAGACTCTCAGAAAAGAGAGAACAAAAAGTCGATACACAAATATGAAAGATGAGCGGAACAGAAGAATATTTCTGAGATCAAATATTGCCAGGTTTCTGTATTTTAGCAATGTTTTCATTATTAGTGAATCACACAAAAAATCTGAAAGCATGGCACTTTTTTTTCTTGATTTCTCTGTTCCAATTTCTTCGTTTTGTATTCTTTTGTTATCTTTTCTTTATTTAATTATCTCTTTTGATTTTCCGGTTAAAAGTTAAAGAGAATAGAGAATCGTTTATTCGTTATTTGTTTTTTCTTTCACTAATATATGTATATATATAGTTAAGTAACGAAAATCTTGGTAATCCGTATGTATAATCCCAAGGAGGATGAAGTCCTGAGAGCTCAATGTTAATTCAGTGCGAATAATTTAATTTAAAGAAAAACAGACCACTTTAAGGCTCCATTGTAATAATTTATTTCACCAGGGACTTTTATTTTTACCTGGATCTTCAGACATCACTTTCAAAAGGTGAAACGAAAAATGGAATTAAAATTTCCACTTTTGATGGGCATATATAATGAAATGGATTAAGTCTGATATAGGTTATTTTTATAGATACAATTTATTTAAGTAAATGCTCTGTTTTTTTTTTTAATTAAACAGTATTAATTACATTTACCGGTCTGAATGTTCGAGAAAATTAATACTTTTTAATTAAAAAAAAACAAAAAAAACAGACCATTTACTTAAATAAATTGTATCTATAAAAATAACGTATAAACAGAAAATATATTAAATCCTTGTCGGGCTTAATCCATTTCATTATATGTTGTCATTGTTTATGTTAAGATACATTTCATGAGCAGATATGATCGATCGAGAAAAATCGTCGAAGATTTTGTTTAAAAACAGTAATTTGGGCTTTGCTAACCAGATACTTCTCTGTAGATAAATGATGTCAACAAGTATTTGCTGTATTGTGAAGGTGAACAAGAATGTGTATCGCAGTTACAAAATGTTGCTTTTATAATTTACACCTGAAGATGATCTTAGAAAAGGTCGAAAGTACTTGGGTTAAAAACAAAAAACAAAAAACTATGGCGCCTTCCTTAATGAATTTTATCTAAACATCAAGAAAACTGGAAAAATTAGCATAAAAAGTAAACATATGTCTATATTATTGAATGACGGAATGTTACCTAATACACACACGCGCGTGCGCACACACACGCCTACGCACACATATTTATGCACATTTCATTGAATATGAAAGACAAGGTTCTTTGATTTAGTTTTTATAGAATTTCTTATGTAATCTTATAATTTTTTTTATTTTAGGAGGATAAATTTTATAAAAAATACAGACATACAACAATCAATATCTTGTTAACCCTGAAAATGGCTAAATGTCTAGCCAAAAGCGCTCAGAAAGAAATAACAATTGGACAGTTTTTTACATAATTTATCCTCCGAAAAGAAAAAATAATAAGATCACATGAGAAATTGTATTAAAAAACTAAATCAAAACACCTTGTCTGTCATATTCAATGAAACGTGCATGAAAAAGGATTGCTGCCTAAATACACAAATATATATATATATATATATATATATATATATATATATATATATATATATATATATATATATATAGACGTGTGTCTGTATGTGTGCGTGTTGATTAAATCACCGCATTTTTACATAAATGTTTATTCAATTTTTCATGATAATAAAGAACAGATGTCATTGTATTTCCTTATTCTAAGAGCTCGCTGACACGAAATTTACCACATTCCATTGATATCTCACTAAAAGCTTACGCAGGTAAAGCTTTAGTTTTAGTTTTATTATGGATTCTTTCAACGAACAAAAATAGTGAACTTTTTCATTGCTCATAATCATGTTAGGTTCTTGCCTTGAATCTACGTTTGTTTATTTTTGAAAACGATTTTATTCTATTTCAAAAAAGAAAAAAAAAGAAAAAAAGCGACATTGCTTTCAGAACACTTGATATATATAAAAGAGTGAGCAAATCACAGATTTTTGTTCATAAAACCAAGAAGAACTTTGAGAATTGTTAATTCATCGTAACTTGGAGATTCACAAGAATTGTTTTTTAATAGTACACAGCCAGATGTAACTATTATGAACAGCGAATGAAAACATGCCAAATGGTGGCCGTTCTTATCGTATAAAACCTTACAATGAAACTGAAATCTAGATTTTGTTCGAGAGCTTCTTAAGTTGTGGAAGGGGAGAGTGAATGGTATAACCAAAAAACAGTGTTGAAGGCTCTTACAAAAAAGATTAGAAGTAAAAATCCCAGCGAAAAATTCATGTTAGTTTGCATATTGACGACACTGATGGAGATTTGAAAAGACTTCGTGTTAGTTGAACCGCAGAAATAGTGAGATGTAAATAAACTAAATTCCCTACCACCACCCAAAGATATCATCATCATTTTAATCTGTGTTGCATGTCCTTTCAGGATAAGTCAATCATGACTCTTCACAAGTTCCCATAACAAATACCTCTAAGTAATACTTGCCTTTTCACCATTCTTCCCAATCCTTGTTCTACTATCTATTTGCATTTGTTCGGTTACTTGCTGTTTGCGTCTGACCCTTCAATATATTCTGTGAGTGTCAAATTCTCCAAGCCCTATTTCCTCATGTGTCCTAGAAATTTCAACTCTCTCTTTCTGATGTTAAATATAAATGTACTTTTTTTCCATTTCCTCTAAAAATGTTGTTGTTCGCATATTCGGTGAATAGTATTCTCGGCATTAATCTGTGGAACCACATTACTGGTGCCTGAAATCTCTTGTTCATTTGCGAGGAGATTGTCCGTCACATCCTGTCGTTAGGTGGATTGATATTACATAACAGTTCAGAACTCTTTTTTTTGTTATTTCTAACGAAATTTTCTGGTTTTTAATACTTTGCTTAGCTTTTGAAAAGCATTTCTCCTTATTCCAATGCAAACTCGGTATTCTGTGTCATATTTTCCGTCCTCTGTTGAAACCTTTCCCAGATATCTAAATTTTCGTAGTTGATTGATTTTGGCATATCTAATTCGTAATTTACATCCTAGGCTATTCCTCTTGTTGATAAGCATGCATTTTGCATCTTAAAATTAATGGTTTGTCCTTTCTTCTCGCTTTCCTTTAGCGCCTTTTTATGTTCTTATAGTTTCTTTCTGTGTTTGCTAGAAATAATCATGTACATATGCTAAAACTTAACCATACCTGGAAACGCCCTTACTGGGGATACCCAGTGCTTCTTGTTTGGATGAAGACCTGTTCTGTCTTCGAGCAAGACAGAGCAAAAACAGAGGCAGGTTTGGCCGGTTTCTGCGGTGTCTAGTTCTGGATCACCACTTCTCTAATTGTATGTTGCCTGGCGTTTATGACTTTGTCTCTCCTAAGGTACGCATGTGAAGCCCTGACGTCTTTGCATCTCCTAAGGTACGCATGTGAAGCCCTGACGTCTTTGCACCTCCTAAGGTACGCATGTGAAGCCTTGACGTCTTTGCATCTCCTAAGGTACGCATGTGAAGCCCTGACGTCTTTGCATCTCCTAAGGTACGCATGTGAAGCCCTGACGTCTTTGCACCTCCTAAGGTACGCATGTGAAGCCTTGACGTCTTTGCATCTCCTAAGGTACGCATGTGAAGCCCTGACGTCTTTGCATCTCCTAAGGTACGCATGTGAAGCTCTATGGTCATTACATAATATACCTGTGTGAATTACTGACGTCTTTGTTTCTCCCAACGTACGCGTGTGAAGCCATGGCGACATTGCCTCTCCTAACTTAAATTTTTGAAACCCTGACGTCTTTGCTTCTCCTAACGTATGCGCCTGAAGCCCTGACGTGGGAAAATCAGCCGTCTTTGTCTCTCCCAACGTACATATGTGAATTTCTTCCGTCTTTGCAGCTCCTAACGTAGAGCTCTAACGTATTTTTATAACCTAATGTACACGTGTGAATTACTGACGTGTTTGACTCTCCCAACGTACGCTTGCGTAGCAATGATGACATTGTCTCTCCTAATATAAACGTATGAAACCTTGATCTCTTTGTCACTTTCCTGGTGTACGTGGGTCAAGTCCCGGATTAAACGAACTTTGCTACATATCTGATTTCAGAGGGAAGCAAATGAGTAAAATTCCTAAGCTTCATTTACATTGCCTGAAAAGTAAAGGAACTGGTGTCACAAACAATTTATTTCAATTCCAAACAACAAAAAACATTGTTTCTCCTTCAAAGTAAAATACCTCGAGTTTAATCACTTTTACATCCTTCTCTGCCACTTTTACATCCTTCTCTGGATTTTTCTTGGATGTCCCTCAGTTCCGTCGTTCCGGCTCTCTTGATGGCCTCTGCGTCTTTAAAACGGGTCTCTTTGATATTCCCTTGAACTTGGAGAAAAGAAGAAACCTACAGGGAATAAGATCAAGTGAATAAGGAGGTTGTTCCGGTACGGCGATGTTCTCCTCGGCCAAGAACTGCAGAGTAATTAGGGCGTTGTGAGCTGGTGCAGTATCACGGTGAAGCAGCTACGATTTGCCCTGCCACAACTCTCGTCTCTTCTTGCACAATCAGCGAAACAAACGCCGCAGAATCTCTTTGTAGACTTAAACAGTGGCTTGTATGAGGTTCTTGAGTGACGTGGCCAAACCATGACATCTTCCGACGATAAATAGGGCCCACAAAACTTTAGACCTTACTCCATACATAGTCATTGGTTTTGTGCTTCGAGTAAGAGATGCGCAGGAGATTTCTGAGGCATTTTTTTTTCGAGAGAATCAACTGGCATAAATTATAAACTTGACATTATTTGAAATCCAAAGAAATATTGAAATGTAAATCAAACCATTTTATTATTTCCTCAAATCAAATGGTTCAAAGTAGTGAATTAAAAAGAATAAGAAACTATTACGTTTTCACTGTATCTATCTTCATTATTTAATTTACGGGAGTGTCACTAACATTATTTATAGAAAGTGAAAGTGAAAGTAAGACTAAAGAGGGGTGTTTGAGGAAAAGATAAAGAGAAGGGCGAAGATCAAGATCAAGGAATCAGAAGTTGTCGATTGACATGAAATTTAAATTTTTGAAGATTATAGTTATCAGGGAAGCAAGTAAGAGAAAGGGAGTGTCATAAAAGGAAAGTGTGAGAGAAGAATCTGTTGTAGTAGAAGAGGCGGTTACATTTAACTGTTTCGACAGTAAAAGGGTGGGACCTAGATGCCAACCTAGTAGCACGCTTAAATTCATGCAATTGGGGCACTAGTGAAAGTAGCTCGTCAGAGCAGTTAGCGTGAAAATATTTGTAGAAAAGACAGGAAAGTAGCATCACGTGTGTGAAAAAGTGACTGGAGTCGAGATGCCAGGTTAGGATCTATCACATAGCATATCCGTCTTTGGATTTTGTCGAGAAACTCGAGATGAACAGCGGGGATACCAGACCATATATGGCAACAGTAAGGACATATTTGAGAGGCGAATATCATAACTAATATGCAAGGACATATTTAAGATGCGAATATCATAACTAAATTTAACAATTCTTACGGCGCAGAGGCAATATAATGCAAAGGAATGAATTTTGATGAAACGTTTTGAATATCAACAGATGCATATTTAGTTTAATTAGACGAATGTTTACGAGACTGAATGGGATTCGATATTTACTTATCTAAACACGGCATTGCTATTCCTTTGGAGAACACGTTTCAAACAAACAGCTGACATAGAATCTCTTATTTTGAAAGAAGAATATGCTGCAAATATTCACAGGAGGTTAGCGAATGCATATATGAATACTGCTGCTGTTGAATAAGGGGAAAACCAAAACTAGAACATACAGAATAATCACGAGTACAAAACCTTGTGAAATGCTTGCAGTTTGGTGTTGTTTTGATTCATCAAAGATCTGCGCAAAGTGTCTTCCCAGAACACTGACAGAATTCATAAGGAGCAAAATGCGGTTTCTATTTAAGAGCTTCAATTAAAAATTCCGAGCCATTATCCATTACACCACCCGCACATCCAACCTTGGACCACCTAGTGTTCCCAAGCGTTCACCCATCTAGATACCAAGTGCTTCTGTTTGGTCCCATGGATGAGATACTCAAATTACAATGGTTCTCTAATGATGATGATACAAAAAAGCAACTAGCTCAGGGTTAAGAAAGCAGCCAAAAAGCTTCTACTAGTTGAGTGAACTTAAAAAAAAAATGTTAATGAAATATTCACTTGCAATTTTTACAGTCAAGATAAGTTTCGGCTTTAAATTACACATAAAAGATTGATAAGCCGTAAAAAAAAAACAAACTAATCAATCAATAAAAAATAACTGGTATTGTGTTTAAAATCCTGAAGTCAAGGTACCAAAGAGGAAAGCTCATCAGAACAATTTCCGTTAAACGTCTAGAATCGGGGCCATAAAATAGGGGCCATAATTCGCACGCGTAAAAATGAAAGTAATTTTGTTAATACACTTAAAGTTAAAATTATGATCTGGGGTACAATTATAAAGTTATATAATTCCTGAAAATATTTTTTTGATGTAAACGAATCTTTACTCAATACTCATAGAGAAGGGCAAACTTCATTTAAAGTGTTTTCTCAGAGAAAAAAGGGATCAATACGTATCCGCACAAATGGTAATATATAAATAGGAATATATAAATGGGAATATATAAATGGGAATATATACAGTAGAATCCATGACAACCGGACTAAGAAGGCCTTCCGTATATGAGGAATTGGTTACAAAGTTCGGGTATGAGGGTTTATTTTTAGATTAAAATAAAAAAAAAATGAAATCAGGTTGAACTTTTGTGTTTAATGTTTTATTGTAAACAAAATAATCTAATGGTGAGTAAAATATAACGGAATTGGTTTTAAGGAAAAAGAAATAAATTGTGTAATGTTAATGAAAATTCATTAAATTAAGTCTGCCACATATGCAAAAAATAATGTTACTATGACTTTTTAATCGCTGCTGCATGATGATTCTTTCTCTTCTAAAGTCATTTTCAAATTTTTCCGCTTTTCGTTGTGCTTTTGTTGAAATTTTTTAAACGAAAAACACTTTTTAACTCTGCGTGCGTTATTGCAATCGTCACAGCTGAATGCTAGCTTTCTTTCCATAAAACTGGCAACCTTTTCAATAGCTTTTTCAATTTCAGTCATAAATCTCATCGCTATCTTGTTGCAGATGTGTCTTGTTGCCATCCTTTCTTCTTATTCCCATCATCTTTTGCGCCAGTACAAGCCATTAGGGTGAAATAGGGCATAAGCAAGTATCCAAAGTAAATTTCAGGAAATTTCAAAGAAGCTATATATCACCCAAATCGTTCAAAAATACACATCAAAATCATGTTCGGATATGCGGAATTCCGGATATGAGACATTCCGGATATGAGGGATTACAGATATGAGGAATTCTAATATATTTCGAAAAATATATTTGACAATATATAAAAAACAATAAATGATATATATATATATATATATATATATATATAAATTTTAACTCACGACTTATGGTTCCGATTGTAGACTTTTACCTAATGACATATGAAATTACATATAGAAAAAGGCACAGGAAGCCACGTTACAACAGTGGGAAAGTAACTGAAGCCGAGATGCCAGGTCAGGACATATAACATTGCAGATTCTTCTTTAAATTTTGTCACGGATCTCTAGATATATAGTGGATGCACCAGACCAGATGTGGTAGCAATATTAAATGCATGGACGAATGGTAGACTTATAAAAGTGCAAGATAGATTCTGGTGAGTTTTATTTATAGATTTATAGACGTGGAAAATAGATCCTAGTGAAAAAATTGTCTAGCATCATACAGTGGACCTACTTTACTAGCACTAGACTTAGCAACTAATTCGATACAATCGTTAAACTTCCTATCAGTGGAAAACATTCGACCGAGAAAGCACAATACTGCTACAAGGCAAAATGAGAATTACAGGAGTATGCATGCTCAAGTTTTCATTCATCCTATAACACCTCCATCAACTGTCGACAAGATAGCTAGCAATTGGACAGATGGCAAACAAAAGCGGGTTCACAACTTTTCTAACGGCTTTATTACAAAGTGAAGTTAGACTGCCTCAGCCGAAATTTGAACTGGCTCTGTCGATTCCGTTTTAGATTTAGATAATCATTCCGACACTCTCAACACATTCCATGTATTACGCAATACTATTAATGCGCCAATAGTAAGTAATCAATGACTATATTGATATTAGTATACCAATAATTTTAATATATATTAAAAATTACACTCAGGTAATAATCGCTCTTATT